TATAGCCTCTCTCCTATACACTGATTGGTATCAGTGATGAAAGGATTAAAGAATTATAGAGCTGGAAGTTTATAGATGAGGAAACTGAGGTTTATAAAGGTTCTATACATGTTTAGACAGAAACAAGGTTTTGTCAACAAGGTTCAGTGAGTTAGAAGCCTAACTCATCACTGTCATTTAGCATGGCAGGCTCAAGATTTAACTCCTTCCTTTATCCAGCAGGGTGGGGAGCAGGAGGTTGGAGAAGACAAAGCCTTTTTTGCAGAACTGCTTGCACACTACTGAAAATTTTCTTTCCAAAAAAATCCCTGGGCTTCCTTATCTTATTGGTTTATTGGTCTTACTGATTTTCCCCTAGAAACTTTCTGGTTCCATCAGAAGCCACAATCCCATCCCTCCTTTGACTTCTTTCCTCTTTTTGTGTACTATGGGTTTTCTATACAGCTCATGTTTATGGTTTCATGGTTTCAACCCTCTTTTAGATTGAAGACTTCCACATCCACATCGCTAGCCTTGTTTCCCCTCTGATCCCAGTTGCAGGTCCACAGAAATCTAGCACACCAGACACAAAGCTTGACTACTGCCTGTTTTGTGTAACTCAGCATGTTCAAAATCAGATCAAAGCTCCCTTCCTAACCTAGATCATCTCCCAGTTTCACTCTGCAGTCAATGGTACCCCTCATTTCTCCAGGTCCTACGTCAAAGCCCTGCAGCGATCAGACATTTTTTTCTGTTGGTGCTTTGCTGAGACTCGGCTGCAGGGTTCTGGCAGAGGCAGTGTGTCCTAGGAATTCAGTATTTTTCTAATGGAAGGAGTATTTCTCCAGAGTGGAGTGTAGAGGCTTTTCTTGGAGATCCTGGAGGGTATTTTTCACCAGCTGTACGCATTCCGGTCAGAAGAGGAAAAGACAGAATCATAGTACAGGCGGGGAATAAGAAAGCAGACAAGGAAATCTCTCAGCCTTTCATTAGTGGAAGTGATGGACATTACTGGGGAAGCCGCATAGACCTAAAAGTTTTCTTCCCTTATGTTTTCAGACTAAACCCTTTGCAGGTGCTCAAAGAGTCTTCAGGGAATGAAATACAAATGCCTATTTTTAATATTGTAACAATATTTCCTCTTCAGAAAAAAGTCAAATTAAAAAACAAACCAACAAACTGCTAGGTCCCTGTAGTGAGGGCAGGAGCAAGACTGATAGTGAGGACACTCTACACACTCGCACACAGCCATCTGGGGCGGCGGGCACCGCAGCTGGTCTGCGTACCAGGCCTGACCCAGCCCACACGCAGGTCTGTGGCATCTAGCACAGCACACTGACCCTTGTTTACCCAATGATATCTGCAGAGTTTGCAAACTTTGGAGGGCGGCAGCGGTGCCTCGGGCCCAGGACATCACTGACCTGGCTTGTATTTCTGTATTTAGGGCATAATGCCAACCATGAGCTAATTTTCATACTATTTGAGGGTGGGATTTATGTAGGAGTTCCCTTATTTTCGAAAGGCCAAGCTCACTGACTTCAAAGTAGTAAGACAATGCTGAATAAATAAATGAATGACAACCCTTTGCCTTTCAGGAAAAAGTAGATTAAGCTTCTATTTCAGATTTTGGCCAGCCAGTCTCCAGGACATGTTAGAGGCATGTGGACCACTTCACAATGAGATTGTGCCCACAGGTTTAGCCAACCAGTAGGAGAAATCATTGACAAGCTTATGCTGGCATCAAGGAGTTCACCAATAATCTCATGGTGAACTCACCAATAATCTCATGGGATGTTTTTATTTCCTGTTGTATAGGGTTTTTTTTTTTCCCAAAAAAAAGTACTTTTCCTTTTAAACTTACAAAGTTAATATTCAAAGTGTCGGAGCCCTCATGGGTCAACCATGGATAACTAAACACTGAGTGCTCTTCCTCTGAGGCCTGTTTGGTGGACCTGTGGTCGAGACGGGCTTCGGAGAGCAAGCCCGCACACGCTTTTTTGGTGAAGTTGTAGTGGGTTATTTGTCTAGTTCTGGAAATCAGAGAGGGCGTGGGATTCTGCCTGATATCCCAACGGACTGAAAGAGAGGTTCCAAGTACAGCAATGTTCTCTTAGAGAATCCCTGGGATTCCGCTAATCACATTGTTTTCAGAGTACCACCTCTGTAACCCTACTGCTCATCTGGGAGACCCCATCCTTATAGAGTACTGTCTACAGTTATAGAAATTACAGCCTTTAGCCTAATGTTGATCTTATAGAAAAGGTGATCATCTTTTAATAGGGGAATCAGAAAAAAGGTATTCTTGATGAATAAACTGAGCCCCTTGGTCTTGGATAGCTCATTTAATTTGGTGTTAGAAATCAAGCAGTGAAGCTGAGTCACTGGGGAAAATGGAAGCCTGAGATTTTCCTAGAATGAATCTGTACACTGAAATCCCTCCAGACTGGATGTGGATACTGTCTGACCACGAATGGAGTGGCTCAGGTGGGCACTGCCGCTGCCAGAGGGGTCCTCTGCTGTCTGTTATCACCCTGTGTGCCTCTTTGTAACATGCTGGTATATTCTAGAACTACATTTATGGCTGCAGGAACTGGGATTTTAATGGAGCAATGCTCAAAATATTTTCAAATGGAACCAATAACTATAGATATTTCACATTTTATAGATTATCTGCATTAAAAGAAAATGATTTTATTCTACATAATCAGTATCTAGTCTTTAGACAGAAATAATACAGTGTTAATAACAATAATAATATATTAGCTTGGTGTTCCTATTCTTTTGGTAACAGTGAAATTCGTTTTTCTGATTCCCCTTTATAAATGACATTTCTGAGCCATCATTAGTCTCCTCAATGGGTCTACCTATTTCACAGGGGTAATTTGAGCAAAATTACTGCTATAGGTACTCAAACCAGTCATGTCCCTTACAATTAATACACTTGTGAATTCATGCTGCTCTTCAGTGAAAATCTTGTAAATTTGCTTAATATCTGTTTTCATCCAGCAACTACTGAGTATGTGCCATGTGGCAGGCACTGGGCTAGCAGCTGGGGATGTACAGTGAAGAAGGCAGACAAGGCCATTTGGTTACAGTCTGACGATTATCACAGGCCTGATGAACCCTGACTCAATGACAGAGCCCAATTCCTGAGCCTGGTAAACTACAGGTACGTGGAAGGTCGAACAGCCACTGGTCTGAAGTAGCCAGGCAGTCCTGCCCTCATTCATGACCCTTGGATCTGAGAAAAGTGAAGGGAAGGCGCGAGGGTGAGAGAGGAAAGACAAGAATGACCACGAGGTCCTAAGTCCACGCAGGGTACTGGGAGTGTGGCTGAACTTGAGAAATAATGTACTAGCAGTGGTGATTTCTGATTTCTTGGATTACATGATAATCCATAATATTTTTAAAAAATGAACTGTGACTGGAAGTTCTACTGCTACCCTTAAAATATACACAATGTCCTTCTTCTGAGAGTGAGATCTCAGGTGAGTTCTAGGGCATTCCTAAGTACAAGCTTCATCCTGAGCTGGCACTTCAAAGAGGGATCAGGAGATGCTGGTCTGGCTGGTTGTTCTAGTAAGTTCCCAGAGTAAGTGGTTCTAGCTATAAAGTGCATCTTTGGGCTATGGAGGGTGACAGGAGGAAGGAAATACTGGTAGTCAGTGTGAGGTGATGTCCTGGGCCAGCAGGCAGGGGACAGTTGGTAGCAAGGGGATGGGGTGCCCAGGAAGGGCTGGGAGAAGGGAACAGGAGAGTAAATGGTCTCTCTTTCCCTCCAACACAATCTCACGTCCTTCTGTTTGTAAGCAGGCATTACTAGCACCTGCTTCTCTTTTTTTTTTTAAGCAAACTGGAGGATTAAACCTCCCTGTCCCGATGAAGTTAAGTATGGTCAGGTGATTGTTTTGACCATGACAAAGAGTGGGATTGATAACCTGTCACTTCCTGGAACAAGCCCTGAATGACTAGCCTTGACTTTCAATCCTGGTCTCTTGCTTTGCCCACGTGCACGCACCTGGTGCAAGGAAGGGCCATAAGCTCCGAGCAATAAATTATGCGCCAATGAAGGAAGAAAACAAATGGCCACTGAGATTTTGGGGTTGCAACCTATCCCAGTCCCAAACTCTGTCTTCTTTCTTTCTTTTGACAGTCTGTCTCCCCTTTACTTCTCTCTTGCCTCCTTCCCTCATCACCTATCTCTCTTCCTTTCTTTCTCTTTTCCTTACTCTACTATTCAATTACTCTCCAATGTTGCATATTTGTAGGGTAAGTGAAAAAGATCAGGCTTTTCTGCCCTCCCACCAAAGTTGTACTATATTATATAAACATGGCGTTACTATGGTGGATAGGGCCTCCCCTGATTTTCTGGTGTTAGTGGTCATCAGGAAAAATAAAAATAAACATAAGTCTTCCCTGGCCACCATGCCATAGCCACACAGCTCAGAAAAACCAGAGCTCCCTCTGGAGCAGGTACTGAACAGAAGTCACTTCCAGGACCAGCATTCAGCTACCAGCAGCAATTTTGTTAAGAAGGTGAGAGGAGTTGGGATATCCAGGAGTCTGTTCAAGACTAAAGATACTGAAGTCATCAAAAGAACTACTCAGTTTCATGCACAGTCCCTCATGACAAATTATTTAGACCTGAGGTCACCCTCACCACCCCAAAAAGTGTTTCAAGTGATTAAAGTCACCCTAAACACAGAGCGCAGAGAATGAAGTGCAGGAAGATGCAATTGTAGCCTGGCTAATCATGCATATTTAAATAAACATCACAGAGGTGCCCCTTGAAAAAAAAAATTCAACAAGCTCTGGTTCCAAATAACATGCTCTGCTAGGGGAACATGAGGCAGACATGGAGGCCAATTTACAACATGGAGATAACTGCCAAGAGTTTTACACACGACCGATTCTGCAGCGAGATCTGGTGCAGGGAGGAGAGGGGAGGCACAAGACAGATGAGAAAGAGAAGAACATGCAAAAGGAGCAGAGCTGGGTGGAGAATTCTGAAGTTCACTTACTGCCTGCTTTTGCTCTTCCTCCTAGGGTGTTGAAGACAAACAAACAAAAAAAGACAGAGGGAAAAAGGAGAGAAATTAATGCCCATCACCATAAACATTTGGAAGAAATGACAGAAGAATCAGGCAAACCAGGCAAAGCCCATGGGCTCAGATGGCAAAGGCCCTGACCGCCAGGAGGGCATCATCAGCTGGACAGAGCAAGTGGCAGGCTTCTGCCCCATCCGGTTATCAAATGTACTTCTAGCGTTGGAAGGAAAGACCATAGAAACCATCCAGTCCAACTTCCTTGTTTATAGAGAGCCTGACCCCTCAAGGTCACATAGCTAAAGGGATTAAACTGGAAGCAGCAGCTCAACCCTGACTCGAAGTCATCCTTGTTTCTCATTCCCCATATCCGCACGTGTTTAAGTACGTGTGTCTAGGATGGTGGTTGTCAGCGTGAGGAGCACAGACAGGCTGCAGCACCATCACCTGAAAATCTGTCAGAGATGCAGGTTTTAGGCCCCACCTTGCCTGAGTCAAAACTCTGGGTGGGGCCTACCAGTGTGTGCAGAGGCCTTTCCTCAGCTGACTCCAGTGCTGCTCGCTGGAGAAACTCTGCTCTGAGAAGCTCCAGGGAATTGCAGCTCCACCTGACCACAGAGTCATCTATCCATGGTCCTCGTCCTGCCACTTGCTTTCAAGCCGCTTGTGGTTTTTTCTAGGACGCACGTGCATCGCCATCCCTCCACAACAAGCTGGAAACTGCTCCAGGGCAGTATGAGGACTTCCAGAAAGAATTCTCCACCTCAGTTTTTCATTAATTCAACACAGATTCAGTTAGTGGTTCTTATACATAAAGCACTGGAGACAGACGTGAGAGCCGGCCTCTGTCCCTCACAGCCTGACAGGACTGCCTGGGGGGCGTTGGCCTGCCGTCCCCCGTGGGTACCCAGCCAGGTACTGCAGAGAGCAGCAGGTGGAGATGAGAAGCACTTCTGAGTTTCTCCCTTGTCTGTCCCTTGCCCCTCAGCTACTCTGGATTTTCGTGGGGGGCTGCTTTCTCTTTCATGGGGAACTTTGGCCGGGGAGCCTCTTCTACTTGCCCCAAATACAGAAACCCAAAAGCTGTTGTACTGGCTTTATGTCAGCTGGATCCACCCATGCAGGCGGTCTTTACGAACACATATGTGGGACATTTTCAGGATGGATGAGAGTTGAGCTTTCACACCCTTTAGATCTGGGTGGGATGGTGGGAAGGGTTGCCCTATAAGCAATGGGTTACAAAGCGGGAGGGGAAGTAAATTTTAGAGAAAAATAATTTCCATTCTTATCAGAGACATGGGCACGAAGAGATCTCTTGAGGAAATTTCAACTCCGTGCAGGAATGTGCTCTTCAGAATCAGAGGCAGCTGCCGGAGGCTGACCAAACCTACAGCACAGAGCCCAGGAGTCCGCGAGCATTGGCTGGGTTAGCCAGACCAAGTCTCTGCATCTGGTATGCATGACTCTAGCTAGGTGGAGTTAGAGTTTTGTATTAATAGTTCAGAATTAGTCTCCCTTCCTAGCCAGATTCCCCTGTAGGGCAGAACACGTTTCTTCTGGTTGGCAGGCAGGGAAAACATGCACAGGACCGTTATTACACAACTAAAAACTGTGTTTGTATTGCTGGCACCAAGTGTTCAGATGGAACTGAGCTAGTGGGAGAGGGATGGGGTGATCCTGACAGGTTGAAATTGCATCTGAGGTCAAAAGACCAGTAAGTCATTTCTTAGAACTGTTTCTAAGACATCTGCTCATTTCTGCTGTCCTGCCCAGGTTTGGTACGGGAGATAGCAGTGCTTTGGCTCAACAGAACAGGACATTTCCGAAAGCAGCGTTTCATGTCTAAACTTTTGATGACCTGCTATGGTTTGTCTAAAGACACGAAATCATTATTATTGTCAGGAGACACTGATACATGCTGGGTGGGGAAGGGAAGGGAAGGCGGGCAGCATTTCAGGACTCAGGGCCTCTCCCGACCCCCATGACCCTCCCATGTGGGAGAGGATGGGCAAAGTGTTAGTTAGGATGGCTTGTATCACTGAAACTCACACACGTTATTTAGATAAAGCCTGGAAGGTTCTGTCAACACAATAAGCAGATCAGATATAAGGCCACAGATCTTTTTGTTATCAATTAGTCAGTTGGGGTCAGTAAATATTGACCGATGACAAGATTGAGAGTCAGTGTGATTTAAAGGAGGTGATAATACTTAACAATACCTTACAGGGCCTCCCTGGTGGCGCAAGGGGTTAAGACGCAACCTATGAAGCTATCTGCAGCCACTGCAGCATGAGTTCGATCCCCGGCCAGGATGGTGACCCACATGGCACAGCAGACCTCTCCTGGCTCTCCCACTGCTCCCTTCAGCTGTGTACTTTGGTCAATCTGCCAGTTTTGTTTCCCACTGTCTCTGGTGAATCCTCTCACCCCCCCACACCTCTGGCCTGTACCCAGCTCTTGTATGCAAAAAAGAATAAATCTTTAAAAAAAAATACCTTACAAAGTACAAATCTAGAACTGCTTATGTCACCTAAAAACGTGTGCTTTTCTTCTACATGGGGACATCCGGTTAAACACTCAATGTAATGATGTAACTATTGCAGTCACTGATAGAAAACTTTACGTTCAAACCTTGCTGGCAGATGAGGCTGAACTGAAAACACACCTTATAAATGCATTTCAAAAGCATCCTTGGAAAAAGGAAAGCAAGGTGGAAATATATGGGAACATGAGTGAGAAAATGAAATAATAACACACCAAATAAGAAGTCTGAGGCAGAGTTTATGCCTATCCACATTCATCAGAGGAAAGAATATAAAGAAAAGATATGAACTGAAATGTGGGCCCTGTCAGTCCATGTGCTGTCACTCTACCGTGAGAAGGTCTCTGATTCTGCATGGAGACAGTGAGTGAAACTTGTTCACCACTCTATATCAAATTCCTAACCATGACACTTAGAAACCCAGTATGTTTTTGTTAATTTTTACCCTGCCTTGTTTCAAAAAAAAAGGACTTAAGACTTTTATTGAATGAATTAATGAACAATGGTAACACTTCTTATGTTTGCTTTTAAAATTATCATTTTTCAGATAAATAGATGTAATATTTCAGGGAGTCAGTAGAATGAAAGAACTCCCCATGAAATGGAAACTTACCGTGTGGCATATTTTAATTTACGAGTATCGCAGACCACGTGGGCTGACAGTCCATTTGACTAACTACTTACAGCTGTTTTATGAGAGAATTAAATAAGAGGAGACTGAACACCAACGAAAGCAGGACAGTCCTTTGAAATTAAAATTAGGATTCTAAAGGGCACTTTTATTATGAATTGGGGAGTATATATTTTTAATAGCAGGAAAACATCTTTGAAATTTTAATGGAAGTCAGTGACTCCAATGTGTGATCTTTTAGGACTGCATATAAGTGCACACAAGATTATATTGTAATCATTTTAGGAAGCTGGATGCCTTTCAAAGGCACGAAGTTTCAACTGTGAATTCTAATGACTGAATTAAAAGACAACATTCTTGTTTATGTTTGCAAATTCTTCCTTCCAGTCTGAATGGTGTTAGACTGTCAGGTGTGTAAATGCTAAGGCGTTTAAGAAGCTACTGGGGATCCTATAAAACGGGTGAAAGGGTATGGCTTATTTTAGTGAAATTGTAAATGAAGAACAACCGTTGGAAATACAAAGAGACTCAGAGTTTGGGATTAGAGTGCCAGGTATCAGCTCATCCTGCTTAGCCCTGAGTCTAGTGTCAGGGGTGCACTGTAAGGTCACAGAGATGCAGTGGGCTCGGAGCCAGGACCTCCAAGAAACACTGAGGGCAAGGCTCCTGTTGGGAAAGCACAGAGCAGTAGTGAGGGGAGATGCATTCTGACTTCCCTGTTTTGCATAAACTTTTTGACTTTTACAGAAATCACCCTGGGGTACCTTCCATCTTTGCGTAATGTTTGCAAGCCTCTTCTTGAAAGAGAGAGTTGACATAAAGATGTCCTACAGATGGACTAACCCCACAATGGCAGGGCCTTCAAAGCACCAGATGACTGGAGATGTTACACAGGCCACATGCATGTAAGCACCTCTCTGCTGTCTTGAGTGGGTGGTTGGGTTGCTTAGCTGGATGCTTGACAACTGTTAGAAGGATTTGGGCCAAGTTTTATGCATAAGGTTTTCTTTAAAGAAGACCCATTTAGACAAACTATTTCTCAGGAGAAATCCTGTTAACAGGGTTACTGCAGAAACATGTCCAGGCAAAATCACCCAAATACCTAGGGCCAAAGCTAGGAAAAGAACTCAGCTCAAGACTAGAAGAAGTGATTGTCTTGAGTAAGTCAAAAGTCAATGTAAAACTCACAACACTTGGGGCCTCCCTGGTGACGCAGGCGATTGAGCGAAGCGCTCTGAGGCTGTCCACAGCCTCTGCAGTGCCTGTTCGATCCCCACCGGCCTCAGAGCAACCCACATGGCGAGGCAGACCTCTCCTGTCTCACCCGATACTCCCCTCAGCAGTGTATTTCATCAGTCTGCCTGTTTTGTTCCCCGCTCTGTCTCTGGTGAATCCTCTCACCCTCCTGTGCATCTGGCCGGTACCCCGGCTCTTGTATTAAAAAAAAAAACAAAACCCCACAACACTTGCCCAAGTTGCTAATCCCACGAGCTTCATTATTAAGGGACTGATTTAGAATGGAGAAGTTGAAGGAAAGTCTCCAAGGGGACATCTTGGGCTTTGCTGCGCGTCTAGACTACTGTCACTTGGGGCCTAGACAATTTCATCAGCCTCCTGTTAGCCTGCAGCTCCTTCCCTTTCTAACTTGTTCTGCGTACTTTCCTGAACTGCTATTTTCTAAACCTTCCATGACTTTCCTGTATCACAGGATGAAATACACCCCCTTCAGCTTGGCTTCTGAGGCACTGCCCACTTTGTGGCGTCCACTCCTGCTGCTAACTCTGTCATAGCACGAAACACAGCGGTCTCCCATATAGACAGGCCTCAGGAATTAACAACTCTAACAAATGTGCTCTGGTGTTGCTGCCCCACGCTGGGTCCACATTCCTTTCTAGGGCCAGCAACACTGTCCAGGTAAGGCTGCTTCACACCACGCGTGCCTTTCTCTGCTCCAGGGTGTAGGAGTTGTAAAATACTTTTCAATAAAACTAGAGACTTGAATTATCCCAATATACTCAAATCCCAAGATATCAAATCTAGATAGAGTGTTGAAAAACTCTTCTTACACTTTAGAGTCAAGAAATATTCATTTACACATAACTAATATCCTACTTATGAATATTCCTATTTTTTCACAAAAGCAACTATTCAGGGACATTAATCTAGTTCCAGTTACTAATTTTTTTATAATCAGGCATTAGGCTAATTTAGATGACTTTAAATTGACTTAGGCTGACTCTATGGAGATGCCCCTGAACGCGGGGTCCAGGCAGCAATGAGCCTTTGACCTCACCCAGCTTCCCCAGCACTGGGGAGGGGGTGGGACGGAGCTGAGCTGGAGGAGGCAGTCTGGGGGCTCTTACCTTCAGCAGCTTCATTAGTCCTTCCAGCTGAACCATCAGCTCCCGCCTGCTCTCCTGCAGCGCCGACATCCTTTGCTCCAGTTCATCTTTCCTTTGCCTGTCTCAGAGGAATAGCCCATCAGCAATGGAGACACAGGAACCCTCCAAGAAGGGTCTAGGTTCAGGTGAAGTGGGTTTTGGACCTGGTTCTGCAACTTACAGTGGGATGCTGAGCAGGTCATTACCTGGGCTACTTTATAGTGGTGACAGTATCTGTTTGGCCCACACCTTCATATACTGTTGTGAGAACAGTATATACAAACGCTGTGGAAGGCGTGCCTTGTCAGAGAGAGGAAAATAATATGATTCTAAAGGTTCTTCAGGAAGTCAAAATTCCTCATTCCAGTCTAAATTTAAATGAACAGTGGAGATGTGTGAAAGCTGCTCAGGAAAGAGGGTTCTCCAGCACCAGACACCAGGCTCAGCAAGGGTGACAGACGCTGTGATGACTGTGTCTAAGAGAGTTCAGTTTCTCTGAGGACAGATTTTGTGTCATTAGTTCTAGCTCATTATGTCCAAACCCAAACTCAGACTTTCCTTTCCAAATGATTCTCTTTTCCAGTTCTCCTATCTCTGCTACTTTTTCTTCCAGGTGTCGTGAAAGTCCTTCTCTGTGCATTACTGTTCACATCCTATAAGCAGTCACGCAGCTCAAACGATTCTTGAAAATTTTGTGCCCTTTTATGTCCACTTCTCTCTCACTTTACCCTGGAGCCCCTTCCCTCCCCCAATACAGTGGTCTCCTAGCTTGATTCATCCTGCTTTCATCTGCTACAGGGAGAGAAAAGCAGTGGCAGAGAAATCAAGAGACTCGAGGCCCAGCATTTACTAGGGATGCAACCTTGGACAAGCCATTTAATCAGAGTCTCAATTATCTCTTTTCTAAAATGGGACTAATAACAACAGCAGCAATATTTTGAGGGTAAAATAAGATAATGGGCATGAAAGTCTCCTTTACACTGAGCTTTACAATGGTGCTCAAAAGAAAGTTGTGTTCATTTCATCATCCTAAGGAATAATCTCAAGAGAATTTCTAGCATCACTGATTCCCAGACCTCTGCTGCCCGGTATAGAAGTCACAGCCCCCGAGTGCTGGGCATCTGCTATGTGTCTAGTCTGAGTCGAGACACAGGCTCGATGTAACATACCCACGGAATTTCCAACACTTACTAGGGGGAAAGAAAGAAAAATGTCTCAATAATTTTGTAATATTGGTTACATGTTGAAGTGATAATATACCAAGCACTAGCATTGTAATTCATGAGACACTTGGTTCCTTTTAGGGTTCCAATGTGATTGTCAGAAAACTTTCAATTGGGGCCTCCGCGGTGGCGCAGCGGTTAAGCGCTGGGTTGCGAAGCTGCCCGCAGCCTCTGCAGCGCCGGTTCGATCCCCGGCTGCTCCCCGGCCACCGGAGGAGGGTCCCACATGGCGCGCAGACCTCTCCTGCCGCCCGCTGCTCCCCTCAGCAGTGTACTTCGGTCCTTCTGCCTGCTCTGCTCCCCGCTCTGGCCCTGGTGAATTCTCTCACCCTCCCACGCTTCTGACTGTACCCAGTGCTTGTATAAATAATAAATAAACAAACAAACAAATAAATAAAAAATATTAAAAAAAAAAAAAAAAGAAAACTTTCAATTGTATCTGTGGCTCATATTTTAATTCTACAGGGTGCTCCACACCCCACTGACATTCCTGCCTTCAGTGCCTCACCTCCTATTCGCTTCCACATCTGGATCTCTAGTCAATGGTTCACTTTTCCCTAAATAGATGCCATCATTTTACAAGTCACAGCTACTCTCACCTCTCTTCCAAATCTTATTTACTCCTTAACATCCATGCCAAATGTTACTCTTCCCAGGACACTGCTCCTGATTATGTCAGGAGGCATCAGGCCCTGCTTAATTTATCACTGTAGCAATTGGTGCTTCTCTGTGGCACCAGATTTTTTTTTTTTTGCCTTGCATTGCTGTCATTCCTACCATGATATAAAATCCTTGAGGTCAGGGATGTGCCTTACTAATCTCTGCATGTACTGAATGATTAAAAGAGTATCATGCATCCAGTAAGTGCTCAATTTACATCGAATGAACATAGCGAAATTCTTATTTGAAACCCTCCAAGGGCTTCCAGTGACCTATCATTTAAGGCTCTCCAGAGTCTGGTTTCAATTATCAACTAATTTTATCTTTTGTCACTGTCACCCTAAAGATTATTACAGCGGGTGATTGAAAACAAATCCCCAAACACTTCCCCCTCTCTGACACATGCCATTCTTGTTGGGGAAAACATGCTGGACCCCAACTCTACTTCTAACCTGAAATGTTTTATCTCACAGTCTATTCAAATCTATGTTCATGGTCTAGCTCAATCCTACCACCTTCAAGGATTTATTTGCTTCTGGCCTGTGTGTATGTATTTCTCTCTCTCTCTATTGAGATTTCTTATAATATCCATGCTATTAACATTGAACAATATTATTTAACTGACCAGCAAATTATGTTTTGCTTCCAAAACTAGAGTATAAGTTTTTAGGATGGAATCACTGTCTTCTGATTTTTCATACTCTCCAAATCCCTCCCCCCAAAAATACACACACACACACACACACACACACATTAATAAGGAGGAACTGACTCATTCAATTTTCTGGGAAGACTTTCTCCCCTGAACTCCACAGCCTACAGTTCTCCTTCTCTGTGCTGTGCCTGACCAAATACTGAACAACACCTACATGCAAGGACATGGAAAGGTCTAAAAGAGTAATTCTGAGGGGGGAAATGTCCCAGAAGACTGCATGAAATAACATTTCTGCAAAGTGCAAAGAAGACACACTCTATTATACGTAAATACACACATATTTGATAATACAGTTTAAAAAGCAAGAGAGTGATGAACCAAATTCTGGATGGAGAGGGGCTCTGTGGGGAAGGTGGAAACATGGAAACGGGATAAGGTGGCACTTATACAGATGACATGGCTTTAGCAAGGTGTGAATTCTCAAACAGGATGTGGGTTTATGGGTGTTCATTTTAGCATTATGCTTCATTTATCTCACACTTGTCTCATATATTATTGTAAAAAATAGACCTTGAAAATAATAAGAGGGGAAAAGAGAGTCCAGGTGTTCAATATCATAACCACTAACCCTAGAGATAAAATCTCCTCCGTTGTTTGTTATACTAGCTGGGGGTGGGCAGTTCCTGGATTCAGATATTGACCAACACTAGCAGAATGTGAGATACATACAAACGAATCTTGCCCTTTATGTGTCTTGATAAGAAAAGTTCTTTATATTAATTGAGATGAATTCACCAACTTATTTCATGGTTAGTAATTCCGGAAAATTATTTTCTCTCCCCAAATCCTAAAAAATTCTCCTATATGTTCTTCTACAGTGTTTTGTCTTTATGTTTAACCCATCTGTTTTTTTTCTTTTATTGACATAACATTGCAGTATAACATATAAGTTTCATCATTAAAAAATCAGAATATGTATATACTACATTTGGTGGATTTTTTTTTTAAATACAGTGGGAGGCAGAGAGCCAATATGTTTTATTCATATGCAGAACCAATTGATCTGGCACATCAATTAAATAGTTCCTTTCTCTGGTGAAGCTGCTTTGTTAACTCCTTTCTGCTTTCTCAGGGTGTAGACCCTCCTTGGCCTGAAATTACATTCCTGCTTCTTGCTGCTTGTGTGACATGCCTGGACTCAGCCCTTTACCTACTAAATTTATATTTTTCAGATCCTCCCAGTTTAACTAAGTTCTTCTAGTGATTTTATTTCAAACAACAATTAGACTCAAGTATGATCGCCTTTTGTTCTTATAGATAGCAAAAGTCACTTGTGCCTGAGCTGAGGAGGGGAAGGAGACGATTTGCAGCTTATGCTGATGGCTTAGTTATGCCCTGTTATACTCAGCCTGACTCAGCAGCGTGGTTCTCCCTCCCTTCCTGGTACACCCCACTGGGCCGCAGTACCAGCATGTGAGAGCGGACCACAGAGCAACCAAAACCTCAGTCCAACCAAATTTAGAAACCAAAATGTATATTCAGGAGAATGGGAACCTCTGTATCTAGAATGATTCTTGGCCACACAGTTTAAATTATGACATTTATTGATACAAATCTAAACAGTAGGATAGTTACAGAAAAACAATAATTTCCATTCTCTAGAAAAAGAAGCCATGGTTAAAAAGCTGAATGACCTAAGTCAAAGGTATTCAACTGGGATTCAAGAAAGCCCAGGTGACAACACATTAAGTCAACTGTAGACTATCAAATGTTACAGCCTACACAGAAAGAACCTCCTGTTTGGAAACACAGCAGGCTGGCAAGGATCAGGTCACTCACTGAGTTTCCATATGTCTTCACTTCCAGCTGAGTACACGCACCTCTTTCTAAGATGGATAGTAGCAAAACCCTAGTAACTCTTGATTGGCACGCTCTGGGGTTAAGAGTCAACAGGGAGATGCTCCCATCCCCCCAAAAAGAGCATCCATGTGGGAAGAGCATGCTCTCCACCCCCACTTGGATCCTGCCTTCTCAGTACCTGAAACAGTCTGCTTTATGCTGAAGAGGGAGGGACCCATAACCATGGGGCAAGGGATTTCCACCTGTTTCCACATCTCTGCAGAGGGAACACTCGCTCCTTCACAGGGCCCTGCGTTGAATGTGACATGCAGGAGAATGTGCTCAGAGGATGGGGGGGCACCACCCCTGCCAAGAGCCTGCAGCAATCCCCACTGTAACCACTGCTCCCCCGGCTGTGGAGCTGGGTCTGCCTCTACCTGCCAGTGTGAGGAAGCCTGCAGTTATTGGGGTGATCAATAATGGAACCAAACATCTGAAGCAGCAGCAGAACGGCTGCACTGCTGTGGCTGTTTGTTTCTAACCGGACTCGCTGTATTCATAATCAGAGTCTAGCCCTTGGTCTCCTGAGACACAAGTTTTACAGAGACAGATTATAACTCGGGGAGTGGGGCCGTCTCCCCACTTACCTCAGCAGCCTCAGCTCTGCCAGCAGTGTGGGGTTCTGTTGGGCCTTCTCAGGGGTGGGTTGAGAAGCCTGTTCGTGCTCTAGACGGAGACGCTGAATCTCCTGCAGGATTTCCCTGAAGAGGAAGAGGAAAGACAGCGGCTCAGCACTTCCAGCTCTGGGTTTCCCTGTTAGAAGTCTGTGTTCTCGCAGCAGACGCTTCTACAGCCCCATTCTGATGGCTCCCGAATGACCAAGATGCAAAACGGACTCTTCTTAACGCTTCACTTGCAATTTCCTTAACGAAACCATCCATTGTGGTAAAACAAGTCATAAAAGTACTGTTCTCAAGAACTTGAAAAATCTCCATGAGAGGAAAATGACAATTAGAAAACTGATCTTCTCTGGGGAAGGCAAAGAGAGCTCTTTGCCACTTGATAAGGCAGGCCGCAGGTGCTAACTGCCCCAGGTGTTCCCCTGTCTTTTCTTCCCTGCGCCTCTGAGTGATGATGGCTGCCATCCTACCATGCCCGCACAATCTCCTTGTCCTGGTTCGTTCTACCGTTGAGTGCGCGCGTATGTGATGTCTGGTCTGTATGCCTTACACGGCTTTTTGGTGAAAGACCAGATGGTCACATGCAGCATAATGGCCAGGAAGAGATGACTAGATAGAGTAAAAGGCTCCTGGGAGCAGCAGAGAAAGGACAGTGAGAAGGGAACACACTGTGGCTGGGAGATGGCACAGGGACTAAGAATCAACCTGAGGACACGTGAACAGGGTCTGGGGCTACCAGGATGGGCAGCCTGCAGGGACACACAAGTTGGTGTCCCCGGACATGGCTGCCCTGTATCACCGTGTGAGATCCCCCTTTGCAGCCCAAAGCCAGCTAGGCGGCAAGGAAAACGAAAATCAGATACTCACCCGATAATCCTGGACTTCAGAGACGTTTTTGACCTCTGCATTCTCACCTGTTTTTGTTCTCCAGTTCGGCAATAAGCTGTCTTTGTTGCTTGTTGGCATCAAAGTTAAAGCTCAGGTCAGTGGGTGGACGAGTCTATTGTGAGAAAATAATTTTTTTTTCTGATTCAAATATATCCAGAGTCCTGTACAACAATTCACAGACTGTTGATTTTTAAAAAACAGACTTTTGAGGTATAATTTACATACCATGAATCCACCCATTTTCAGGGTACAATTCAATGAGTCTCAGTAAATTTAAACAGCTGTGCAACCAATCGCTACAGGCCAGTTTTAGAACATTTTATGGCACTATAAAAAATTCCCCTCATGTCAGTTTGTAGTCAACTGCTGTTCCCACCCTTCACTGCTTTCTGTCTAGTTTTGCCTTTTCTGGAAACATCACATGAATGGGATCACTTTCGTTTCTGGCTCACGACTCACCAAGACGTTTTCAAGTTTCATCCGTGTCGATCTAGGAATCAGGAATTTCTTCCTTTTTATTGCCAAATAGTGTCCCATCATCTCCAGCTCTCCCCGCACCTGACTCCCCTACTGCCCACCCACCTCTGATAGCCACAAATCTGATCTCTTTCTCTGAGTTTGGGTTTGCTTTAGATTCCACATATAAAAGCCTACGTGTCTCTCTCTCTCTCTCTCTCTCTCTCTCTCTCTCTCTCTCTCTCTCTCTGTGTGACCTACTTCACTTAAGATAATGCCCTCAAGGTCCAGTTTTTGGCTCTCACTAATGGAGCTACTCAGAAGTTTCATTTACAAGTCTTTGTGATGTTTTCACTTCTCTTTGATAAATACCTCAGAGCAGAATTCCTGAGTTCTATGGTTACTCTGTACTTAACATTTAAGCAATTGTCAAACTCTTTTCCAAAGTGGCCACCCATTGTGCAATGGCATGCAACAGTTTTACAACTCCAGCAACGATGAATGAGGGTTCCAATTTCTCCACATCCTCACCAACAAATGTCATTGTCTTTTTTCTTAGTTTTAACCATCCTAGTGGGGGTGGGGTAAAATATCCATTTGGGGGGTTTTAAAAAATAATTGAGATAAAATTTATGTATCATAAAATTCACCCTTTTAAAGTATACACTTTAAGAATATTTATGAAACCGTGCAGCCATCACCACTAATTCCAGAACACATTCATCACCCACCAAAGAAACCCCACACCCATCAACAGTCACTCCCCATTCACCCATCCCTATTCCCTGACAACTGCTAATCTACCTCCTGTCTCTATGAATGGCCTGTTTTGGATATTTCATATAAATGCAATCATACAATATGTGCTCCTTTATATCTGGCTGCTCCCACTTAGCAAAATGTGTTTAAGGTCCATCTGGGTTGTGCACTTCATTCTATTGCTGAGTAATTTTCCAGTTTAGGAATATACATTTTGGATTGTCCCCTTTTTGGGGGTGCTATTTTGAATAATGCTGCTATGAACATCTGTAGGCAAGGTTCTGTGCCGAGATATGTTTTCATTTCTTTGGGGCATATATCTAAGTGTGCAATTGTTGGGTCACATAGTAACTGCCTTTTAAGGAATTACCAAAATGTTTTCCTAAGTGGCCGCACTATTTTACACTCCTGCCAGCAATGTATGAGTGTCCATCTCCCCCATATCCTTGCCAACGTTTGTTATTGTCCATCTTTTGGCTCACAGTCATCTTGGTGGGTGTGAAGTGGTATCTTATTGTGGATTCAATTTGCATTTCCCTAACTACTAACACGCTGAACACACATTCATGTGTTTAATGTGTATTTGTACATCTTTGGAAAAATCACTGTGGTTTTTGATTTGCCCATCCACAGGTGCTCCTGCCTTATGAATATGAAAGTCAATCAACAAAAAAAACGAGGAAAATGGATGACTAGGTGATGTTTCCCTTTCATTGATTAAACGGAATGAAAGTTCTCCATGAAGACTTGCGGTGACTGAGCCTTACTCTGCACATTCTTGGTTCTGCTCAAAATATGATCTATAATGAAGCAGAAACCTTGTTTTCTGTCAAGAGCTTGAAGATGCAATCATTCTTATCATGTGGCATTTCCTAATAGCACAGCAAATCTGAGTGGGAGGCCTTTTCCAAGTCACAAATATTTTTCTTTCTTGAGAGGGGGAAAAAAAAAATGTGATTTTTCTTCATCCAGAGAAGAGTGGACCAGCAGCCAATTGAGCAAATTTTCTACCTTGTTAACAGTGTCTTGCAAAAGCTTGAGCTGAACCTCAGAAAATGGCCTGCCTGAGACTCACCCTGCTATGAATAATAGATTTCCAATTCTTGAAAAATGGAGTTAAAAACCAATGGCTCCTTGCTAGAGTGGTATCAGAGAGAATTGTGGGTGACGAAATGGGTTCTGAAAAGAACGTGCCTAATAAGATGACACACAAACCCTGTGGTATTTCATTGGAAATGTCTAAAGAGTCTTCAGTTTTGAGTGTCTGACTGTAATGCTGAGGCATCTTTCGAAAAGAACTAAGACTTACTATCAATAGTGATTCCTAACTGGGCAAGAATCTCTGGTATCAAGTAGCATGGTTATTCAAACACAAAGAAGTGGGATTGGAGGATTCAAACCCTGAGGCAGCGATTCCATCTGCAGCAACCTGCTCACCGAGGAACACGTTAATAACGGGGAAATGAGTTACATGGAAACTCTGTACTAGCTTCACAATTACCCCCCCTGTAAACCTAAAGCTGTTCTGTAATTAAGTTTATTAACTTTTACACTTCCTTGGCTACTAAGTGGAAAATTTACTGCAGTGGGATAAGAACAGATGTAGACCAATTAGGAACCCTAGATGTTGCTGCTTACTTGTCATGTAAACCTTGGGTTATTTTATTTTACTATACCTTTATTCCCTTGTCTGCAAAATGGGAATACTGACAGAGAGAGATGTGAAGATGCTCTAGGGATATAATGTAGGTAGTGGCACAATGCTCAACAAATGTGATTATAACTCAAAATAAAATTTCATTGAATAAACTTATTATACACCTTCTTCTGCGAATCTAGCAAGTAGCAGAGCCAGAACTGTAAGTAACTGAAGATAACAAAACACCATGATGCTTACTGATAAGCAAGACTTATGTTTGGGGTTTAGTGAAGCCCTGTAACCTCTGCAGGCATGTTTATATCACTGAAACCCAAGGGCGCTCCCAGCCCAGGGAACAGGGACTGTCGCATCTGGAGCAGGACAGGCCCAGAATAAAACTGGAGCTCAAGGCCTTTTAACTGATTCTGTCTGTGAACACAGCACGTCTGTGGGATGGTCTCCATGCTCTCTGGGAAACACAGTGCCTGTTGTCCCTGTTTCATGATTAGCAAGCTACACGCTAGAATTCATAGATACTTCTGTTGCTATCGATCGAGGTGTATGCTTACGTTATTTGTTGCTAGATGTATTTGCCATTATGTAATCTAATTAAATATCACAAATGCCAATGAGATATGCAACAAAATGAGTGTCGTTTTTTAAATACAAACCAAGGTGAATGAGTTGGAAGACTCAGAGATGAACTTCTAAACTGTCACTGAATTAGTTGAAGGTAAGACCGCTTTTAAGATCTGGAATGTTATAAGGAGGAATTTTGTACTCATTGCAACGCAAGAATTTTTAAGTTCTCATTCCAGGATAAAAGGCTGAAAATGGAGATTGGACTTAAATCATGTGGAGACAAAATGGAGCCCACACTGACCCAGAGAGCTTGATCTTATGTCAAACACACACAAGCACACCCCAAGAAATGTTAAGGAACAAATGTATCATTTTTATAGTTTCCTATTCGAACTTATTGAAAGATGTATTATGAACATTTTAAAACAAATTGAGAGAAAACAGAAATATATTTCCATATACTCACTATGAGCTAGTGCCACATTTGCTTCATCTGTTTCATATTTTCTCAGTATTCTAATGCAAATCCTAAAAACTTCTTGTCCCTTTGCCCCTATATACTTTAGCAGGCACCTCAAAAGATTTTAAACAAGCTTTTCATTAGTTGGTCATTATCTGACCAGGTTCAGATGACAGGGCTCCTACTGAGTACAAGTCATTCAAACGGGGCCTGCTTTAGAAATCCCTTCTTTACCTCCCAACCTAGAAGACCTAAAGGCAAGAAGACTGATTCCTGGGTCCTGAATAGTTCCTGAGTCATGTGGAGTGGGGCCTGTGAAGCTTCAATTCAATGTTAAATTCACTAGGCCTATTCCTTTCATCCTTTTTAAAATGAAAGTACCACATGTAGCAGCCCTATTCTATGAATCTTCTGGGAGTCCAGAGCCAGCTGAACTTTCAGCGAATATCCTGAGGCAACCCTGTATTGAACTAGGCAAGAACCCCACTGGGAACGTTTCCCATGGAGCTCAAAATCCCTTGGGATGGCCTCCTGGGTTGCCATACAATCTGGTGGTGGGAGCAGAGGTAGTATTACTCATGGTATTACTGGGATAATTCACTTGCTTCCAGACTCCTGGATGGTTTAAAGTCTTTCAATTTTCCTTTATTAAAAAAAAAAAATTACCCATTGCAATTTTCTTTTCTTTTTTAACTGGACTGCTTTTTTAATGAGATGGTTAGAAAGACTTCTTCAAAGAATGGGGAATTCAAATCCCCCCAAGTCAATTGGCTCTCAAAACAAACCACCAACTGATAGAAGTGGGATCTGGCTTCCCATTTGTAGCAGCCACTCCACTTGGGCGTGATGATGCAGAAACTTGCTCAGAATTCCAAGACCCCTGTAACCCGCAGCCGTTTGCTCTCTTTGTCAGAAGTCACCACTCACAATATCCCTGAGGGTCTCCCAAAAGGGTATTTGTGGGTTATTTCTTCTGCATGAGATAGCCTGCAGAGGAAGCCAGTCCTTTGGGCCTCTGCTTAAAACCAACAGCCACTGGATAACTGCTGTACTTCAGTAAGGACCAGTCACTGCAAGTTTCTAATGTCACATTCTGAACTAGGCCAATGGCTTCATCCTTGTTGAAGAACCCATTTGGTAAAATTATGCAGTTTTAATAAAGCAATGTCACGTGATAAAAGAACTTTCTCAAAATGTGGACATTAGTAGTTCAATA